ACATTATTATGGGAGGATGATGTCTCAGGACTTCCGGACTGACTATTGTGATGACGTCATTACCATGTGTCACTCAGGACTGGCTATTGTGATGACGTCATTACTATGTGTCACTCAGGTGATGACGTCATTACTATGTGTCACTCAGGACTGACTATTGTGATGACGTCATTACTATGTGTCACTCAGGTGATGACGTCATTACTATGTGTCACTCAGGACTGACTATTGTGATGACGTCATTACTATGTGTCACGAAACATCCTGAAGAGGGAACACTTTGTTGATATGCTGTGTTTCTCTTTCTGTCTTGTTTCCCTGTAAAGATGATTTTGTTGCTGATGAAGCACAAATTGTAACTGACGACACGTCCAACATTTTACTAACATATATATACATATTATGTATACAACTGTATTTAAGACTGGTGGTTCTTAAGCTGTAAAACGATGATGATGATGATGATGATGATGATGGTGATGGTGATGATGATGATGATGATGATGATGATGATGATGATGATGATGATGATGATGATGATGATGATGATAAATTAAAAGGGAATCTTACGCAACAGATGTAGCTGTTCCCAGAAGCTGGTACCTTCTGTCATCTTCCCACCTCTGTGCGTTGGAACCTTCTCTCAACGATATTGATAACCTCCCTCTCCTGTGGAAAAAGTTGACCGCTCAAGCTGGCTCACGATGTCACTGGATGGGTTTGGAGTGAGGGGCGCTTAACTCGGTGGCATCTCGCTTCCCCGGGCCAGCACGGGTGATTTGCCCTTCAACGGCTGGAAGCAAGTGTCAAGACAGACAACTCCGGTGTCAGTTACAAGTGGAAGCAGAAGTGATTGCGGGCCCTGGCTCGTCTTCGTCTGTTTGGCTCGGGGCTAAGTGACGGCTATCGCGTTGTCTTACCACCAGCCGTGGGCCACACTCTTCACAGTCTCAGCTTTTTATAGCGTGTGCAGACGAAGTGGCTTTGTGGGTGGTTGGCGGGTGCTCTAGTATGGTTTGCTCCTTCTTTCCTATCAAACCTCTATCGTCCTTATCTCTCCTCCTTCGCTTTTTGTAGCTTCTGTAGAAACTCTCTTTTAACACCTTTTAAGTTTTAGTAAGAGTTTTACGGCACTTGCAATACAATAAGGTCATTTAAGTGCCGAAGATTAGAGGTGTTACAAGAGAGTAACAAACACAAAACAGAGGGGGAGATAAAGATGATAGATGTTTGATAGGAAATAAGAAGCAAACCATACCAGAGCACCCGCCAACCACCCACCTAATCTTCGCCACTTTTATGATTTTATTGTGTGCCAAGTGCCAGTAAAACTTACATTTGAACAAATGGCTTTGTACAATACACATCATGTATGTACATGTAATAATTTGTTGAAGTCGTACGTCTCCAGCTATACCACATGAAAAATGAAATCCTTCGACATTGAATTAATGCAGACGAGTTTTAGCAGTGGGTGTTCATAATAATAGACTTGGGCGTAGTAAAGTGTGACTGGCCACAACACACCTTTCAACGTGGGGCAATCACGTGAGGCGCGGACTCACCAAACGTCAGACGGACTTTGTGATTTCTCAGTTAGGTTGTCTCATCTTGTGTCTTGGAGTTTTGGGAGACAAGATGGAAATGCTGATCGCTAACGCAATGTGGGAGGCAGATGCGTTAAAGTAAAAGAAGAAAGAGAGAGAGATGGGGAAAGGGTGGGGGGTGGGTGGGCGGGGTCTTGCCTCAAGTGATGGTGCCATTGTCAAGAGGAGACGCGGAGGAGCCCTCTTGTACTGTGCAAGTCATCGGAGAAAGGTGGTCACACAGACAAACCCACGGGCGCACACACAGAGGGAGAGAGAGTGAAAGAGAGAGAGAGAGAGAGAGAGAGAGAGAGTGTGTGTGTGAGAGAGAGAGAGATAGAGAGAGAGACAGAGATAGAGAGAGAGATAGAGAGATAGAAAGAGAGATACAGAGAGAGATACAGAGAGATATATAGAGAGAGATAGAGAAAATATAGAGAGATAGGGATAGAGAGATATAGAGAGAGAGAAAGAGAGAGATAGAGAGAGATAGAGAGAGAGATAGATAGATAGTGAGAAAGAGATAGAGTTAGAGAGAGAGAGAGAGAGAGATAGAGATACAGAGAGAGATAGAGATACAGAGAGATATAGAGATAGAGAGAGAGTGAGAGAGAGAGATAGAGAGATAGAGAGAGAGAGAGAGAGAGAGAGAGAGAGAGAGAGAGAGAGAGAGAGAGAGGAGGAGGAGGAGGCAAGGGAAGAAACAGACAGAAAGAAAGAAACAAAGCGAATATGATAGACAGACAGACAGACAGACAGACACAGACAGACAGACTGAGAAGAAGAAAGAGAGGAAAGCAGGGGAACAGAAATTCGAAATGCGAAGCTGAAGGATGGGTCGCTATTACGTAGACTGAACTGAAAGTGGCCCATCATGTACAAAGAAGTTTCACTTCTTTTTCAAGGTGAAGGGAAGTAGACATTAATTGCAAACTGTTTGAAGGAGCAGCATGAGAAAGAACATTGTGAATTGCTGAGACACTTGACAAGAAATGAATGGGATCTGCTCCCCTTTCAAAACTGTCAGATTCTTCATTTACTGAGAGGCTAGGAATTTTCCATTTATCTGATCTCTGATAGAGATCTGTGGCAAGTTGGCTGAATGGAGAGCTTCGAACACTCCCTCAACATCCAATGCAAAGAACGGCTCAAACAACCATTTCAATTTCCTTCCCTGCATTACCAAAAATAAACAGTACCCAAAACAATCCCTAAATTACACTCCTGGTACCACAAATTTGGGAGAAAAAAATTGTGTTCTTTTGATGCATCAACTCTGAACAATATGTAGGATGCTCACAGAACACCCACAAACATGAATCTTCCAATCTGAAGCACAGCTTTTCTACATATCAACAAGTAAGACTTCTACTGACTTTCAATTTCCAACACACATTTTGGTCAGAATTAGCGCATTATGAGGAGAGAAATTGTGGGTTTTTTAATACAACAAAACAATTTTACGAAAAAAATTACAACAAAAACAAAAGATATGATTGAGCCAGGTTATAAAAATGTTTATTTTTTGGAGGCTATTACACTCAGTTCAACATTGTGAGAGTTATTTCCAAGCAACATGAGAGACAAGTCCACAATCAAAATCAGCATAACATTCATGACATACACTCTCAGATTGAAAACCATTCAAACTCTTTCAACATTCTCACACAACTGACAGTCACTGCTACGTGACTGTCACACAAGTTCTCCACAATTTGCAATGGTGACTTTCTTGGTTGGCTTCCCTCCTTTTGTTCCGACAGCCTGGAAAAAAATGTCAGTGAACTATATTTGCAACCATTACATAAGACCACATTACATAAGACCACATTACATAAGACCACATTACACAAGACCATGTCACACAAGACCATGTTACACAAGACCACATTACATAAGACCACATTACATAAGACCACATTACATAAGACCACATTACACAAGACCACAGACAAAGAGATTTGTGTGAAGGCACAGGAAACCTCATTAGATCCTCAAGTCAGTGAAACATCAGACTTGTTAGGATACAAAGATGTATGAACCATATCTACTCAAACTCAAAATAGGAAAGCTAGACATTAACTAAAAGACTCTCCAACTTGCAAAACTAGCAATTATTTTCATATATTTCCCTCTCTTTGAAATCATAGATGCATCAAGTAGGAAGCATCATCAAATAATAATAACAGATAGCATTTGTATAGTGCAGATCCCCGCTCAACAGCACGCTCTATATGCCCTTCACAATCTATACTATTACCCCAGCAGACCTGACAGCATTCTGAAACAAACTCAACTTCCTGAGAAGCATACAGTGCAAGCAGCCATTTATAGGCGCTAAAACACCAACATACTGACAAGATCTTTCGTTGTCTATGGCCGGGTACCCATTTCCACCTGGGTGAAGTGAGGAAAATTCGTGTAAAGTGCCTTTCCCAAGGACACAACGTCGGGCCCGCAGATCAAACCCCCGACCCCGCAACCTCACGAATACGAGTCCGGTAGCCTAACCACTAGGCCATCGACGCCACATTATTCAGGTTTAGATATATTTACTGTTACATTTTGTAACCACTTTTTTTCTGTAAGATGCAAGCTATCAAATTAGACCCATTCCAGTAGTTTTGAAAGATTACTTTAAGTTCCAGTTATAACCATCATCACTTTTGGGAACAGACTTATTTCCACAGAAAGAAACTAATACAAATATTCAAGAGCAAAAAAAAAACAAACAAAAAAAGAAGAAAAAGAAGATTTAAAATTAGGCATCAAATATCTTTTAAAAAATACAGTTTAAAATTTTGCCTCCAAAAACATCGTTACCTCCATTTTCCTAACCACATCCATGCCTTCAATCACTGTGCCAAAGACGACATGGCGATCATCAAGCCTGAGGATGGACAAATATCATATACAATAATATACATACACTTGTTCAAATAGATCCTACATGGTAGTGCAGGAGTATTACCTACATTTATCTGAGCTTCCAGCAAGTTCTGGAGAGTAAATTACAAGAAATTCTGCTGTACCATACAAAGAGGAGAGCAAACAATGATACAAGAGCTCACAGGCCAGGAAACTGGGAAGTGACATACAATATCAACATTTTCATCAATGTTTCTGAAAATGGCATCGTTGACTGTAAGAAAGAATGAGTGCATGAACTCACTTAAGCCGGAGCCATTTCTCAGCCCACAACAATTGCCGCCTGACACTTTTCCATTCTGTTGAAACGTTCATCATAAAAAGACTGAAAAATATCGTTCTTTTTTTTAATGCAGCAAGAAAAAGAAAGAAATGCTCTCACAGAAAAAGAAAGAAATGCTCTCACAGAAAAAGAAAGAAATGCTCTCACAGAAAAAGAAAGAAATGCTCTCACAGAAAAAGAAAGAAATGCTCTCACAGAAAAAGAAAGAAATGCTCTCACAGAAAAAGAAAGAAATGCTCTCACAGAAAAAGAAACCTGCATCTCTATTTTGCCCAAATACTTTTTATTGTATCACTATTTTGAAATGGCAGTGTCTGGGCTCACACATCACACAAGTTTTCATCAAATCCTCCATCGCAATGCCAAGGTCCCTGACTTAGTCCGCTACAGCTCAAAGTCTCCCACAGAACTTTACCAAATTTTTAACAAAACGAAACAAGTGGGTCAACTGTTGGCTCACCACTTCCCGTAGCTTGTAACCGAAAAACATGGGAAATACCGATCAATAAAGGGCATCCCATAAACACATAGGATTAGGCCACCGGGCCGTTCAGTAAATACAAGGAAAAGGCTCAAGTGAGTTAAGATTTGCATCATGCTGAATGGACTTCCAAGCACAGTATACATTGCCAGAAAGGATGGGAGGAACCAGAAGTTTGTTACATCGGAAATTAAAGTCCATTCCACAAACTTACCACAAGCAACTGTCAAAAGGCTACTTTTACTCATATTTAGCAAGGCAGAAGTAGAATGTTATATTGGTAAGTTCTTTTCTTACAGGAATCAAATCAATAAATTCCCAAGGATGAAGTGCCCAGATTTTTCAATGGCTGTTCACCTGGTATTCTAAAGTAAAACAAGTCACAAGCATTTGATACAAGCAAAGCACAACAAAAAGCACATTACCAGTCTGTCTTGTCTGTGGTTATGAAGAACTGAGATCCATTGCTGTTGGGACCAGAGTTGGCCATTGATAGGGTTCCTGAGGAGATAGGCCAAAGATATAGAGCGGAGTTTGAGTTTGAGTTAAGAGAAACACATTGATACACAAACTGCAAAACTGTCATTTCAATTTGAATTCAGGGAAAAAGTACGAGAGACAAAGAGAAAGAAAAAAGAGAGAGTAAAGAAGAAGAATTCACTAGTGACACCCACAAGCCACCACCCAGACTAACCACCACCCAGACTAACCACCACCCAGGATACCTGGACTACGGAAGAGAAATACAAGAATCTAGATAAATAGCCATAACATGTCTGCATTCAAGTGGGCTACAGAATAATGATATTATGCAATGTGAAACATCATTAGGTTATCAAACAAGGGTAAATGATACGACAGTCTTTATACTTTATGAAGAACAGAACATATCATGAACGATCATGTAAGTGAATATTATTATGTTACACATGATGGCACTGAGTTCACATTGTTTGTAGTTCATGGGTCTCAAGTCAGAATTAAAAAAAGGAGGAACTTCTCACATGATCGTGACAAGACCATTTTGGCAAGACAGTACCCATTATAATTATACTGTTCAATCATACATGATAAAATGCTGAAATAAAAACCATCAATTTATCAAAGCAAGGTTATTTCTTACCAGTATGAGGGTTTGGAATATAATTTTAAGTACAGACTCACTTACCAAATATTTACAATCTTGATTATGTACAGAAAGTGGTGGCACATTACTGGGTAGCGGAGTTGAGCAGAGGAAATGGCAGAAGCAGAAATCCGCTAAATAGCGGAAAATTGAGACCCATGGTAAAAAAAACTAGCATTAACACAAATACAGAAAAAACAAGTGTACTAAATTATGCCAAAACAGCACATTCCCATGCAAAAATGAGTCTGAATAAATTAAACAAATGCAGTAGAAATCGATAAACAATGGTAAAGAGCAGATCAGACAAGGGAAAATACAAAACAGGTAACTCAGAGAAGAAATCCAGACCAATAGCTGTGCTAGCTGTAACTGAAAAAACCAAATCTGGGTCTCACCTGGCTGAGTATGTCTCAAGGTGAAATTTTCATCTGCAAATTTGTTCCCATAGATACTCTTGCCGCCGGTGCCATTGTTTTTGGTGAAATCTCCACCTTGGCACATCTGGTGGGCACAGTTAAAGGAAGCTCTTCTATACTTATTAGTGCTTCTAAACAAAAATACTGAATCCTTTAGTAAGAGTCATTTCACAACATTAAAATTGATACTACATTTAAACAGAATGGTACAACATTATTTCTAATGTAAGGTGTTATTGATGAATCAGTTCAGTCAATATGAAGCTACTAAAAATATTGTTTCACTTGAGAAGTCAGAAACACAAACAAGGAATATGATCACATAAATACAAACTTCAACCATTCAATTTTCTAAGATTGGGATGACCTAGGATAAAAATGCTGAGGGCTTGATTGCTCACTTCAACGTGGTACATGACTTTATCTTATATTTGTTATTGATTCCGTGATAGCTCTAAAACCAGGGGTTCTCAACCTATGGGCCGCGACCCCCCGACCCCCCGGGGGGTCGCAAGACCATTCTTGGGGGGTCGCGAGATCATTGAGGATTTTATGAAAACTAAAACATTTCTCTTTCCCTGGCAATTGTCAAAAGACGGTTCCCTCTTCATACGGTTCTCTCTTCAATTGGTGGAAATAAGAAAAAAGGTAAACACGTGAACTTCTAAACACGGCCAGAGAAACAACAAGGCTACACCAGTTGGCCCTGCCTGGTTCTGTTATGTGGGCCAATCATAAGTTTGGTTTGCAATGTTTTCTGTTCTTTCCATATTTTAGCCTGGCCATAGGCCAACGCACAATAGCTTGAAGCCTCGTTTACGACGAGCAATATGAGTGCTGGCTTCGGAGAAGGGGGTCACAGGAGGAAGCATAGTCATGGTGGTAGTCAAGCATCGTTTAATCCAAACCTGTTTCACCTGAGTGAAATTTGTGTACGCCTAGGCCCTGGCGGAGATCTAACCCACACCCAAGGGATGTCACTGTAAAAATAAAATTATCACGGAAACTCCAATTCACCATTATTGTCTCTTTGTGTTCCATGTGGCATCTAGTTTGTCATCTCTACAAAGACCAGAGGCCTCGCTGAGAGAAAGAACCCCAACAGATTATACAACTATGCTGTTGACAGGCAGAACAATCAACACACGAGAAAGGTTAGGTCAGGAAATCTGAGAAAGGAGATTTCAAAAAGTGAAGAGGTGTATTGCACGCATGTCTTCAAACATTATAAGGAACAGGTTGTAGAGGAGATCAAAGCTGCCCCTATGTTCTCATTACAGCTTCACGAATCAGTTGATGTAGCATCGTGCTCACAGTTACTGGAGTTTGCGAGATGCGTGTTTGAAAAAAGGTGCTAAAAAAGAATTTTTATTTTGCACCCCACTGGACAGCACAACAGCTGATGATGTCATGAACAAGGTACCCTCATTTTTTTTAAAACGAGGGTCTTGAGTGGAAGAATGTGTGTGGTGTTTGTACTGATGGTGGCCCAGCCAGGATAAGATCTAAGTCGGGCTTTCAGACAAAAGTGAAGGACAAAGCACCACACGCAAAAGGCATTTACTGCATGATACATAGATATATGTACCAGCTTGCAAGACTCTCAGTCCCACTTTGAAGGAAACGTTGGAATCGGCTGTTAAGCTTCTCAACTATGTGAAACGCAGCCCCCTAAATACACCACTGCTCAAGGAACTCTGTTTTGACATGAGTGCAGATCATGAAACACTGCTGTTCTACACTCAAGTTCGACGTTTATCGAAAGGAAACATTGTATGTTGAGTCTTTTCTAGCTGAGAGAGGAGATCGGATCAAGTTCTTCCTTGAAGTGCAAGGAAAAGATGAGCTCAGCAGGCTCTTCTCAAAAGATTTCTGGATCCCAAAATTTGTCTACATTATTATGTTTGATATGTTTTGACTACCTCAACAAACTCAACTTGAAACTTCAAGGTCAACAGACACACTTTGGTCGGTTTAAAGATGTCGTTCTGAGTGGTTTTCTTTAAAAATTTCAGAATTGGCACCGGAAAGTTACAAAAGGAAACATTGCTATGTTTGCCAACCTTTCACAGCTGTTAAAGCCAGAGGAGACCTTGTCTGCTGATCTTCAAGTTGACATTGCTGCACATTTGAAATCCCTTGAAGATGAGTTCAAGAACTATTTCCTGACCTTGACTGTGGTGAAGAAGCCTTTGTAGGAAACCCTTTCACTCCTGGACCAGACATCACTGTCATTCCAGACGACATTCAAGACGAGCTTTTGGAATTGAGACCTGATTCGTCAGCACGCGATATGTTTCTTGAGAAATCTCTTGCACAGTTTTGGCGTTCACTCCAGGAATCATATACCCCCAGGTCAGCAAAACAACACTTCGAGTCATTGTCCCATTTGTCTCGACTTACCTTTGAGAAAGTGGATTTGCTACCCTTGTTCAACTCAAGACCAAAGCAAGGAACAAGCTGATGTTGCTGATGATATGCGCTGTGCTTTATCCAAGACTTCCTCGAGAATTTCAAGACTGGTCCCTGAACTACAGGCACAGCCCTCTCACTAGTTTATTTTTCTTTAAATCAATGTGTGTGTGCGTGTGTATGTGTGTGTGTGTGTGTGGGTTCTCTCTTTTTTCTCGACTTGTATTTGCTTGAAATAAGAGAGATTGGAAACCTCAAAGGTACAGTTATTGGTCTGTATCAACGATGTAACGTAGGTCTTATTAATTGTCTGCTGCTGGATTGTACGCATTTGGGTGGGGGGGGGGGGAGTAAAAGGGTTTGTTTATTACTTTATTTCGGTTTGGGTATGAGGGGTCGTTCCACTTGCCAAACAATCAAAAGGGGGTCGCGGATTGAAAAAGGTTGAGAAGCACTGTTCTAAACGGTACGGAATAAGAAGGAAATGCATAAAGAATCTTTCCCGAGGATGTAATAACCAACTCCAGGCATGTGGAACCAAACGTTCTCATCATGAGAACACTATTTCATCAATTAGGCAACTGACTAATGCTTATCACATCGCTGCCCTATGCTGACAAAACACCTTTTACTTATTCACAGCACTTTCCAGAAATCATTATTTTTCCGTTTTCTCAGACTATCTGTTGAGCATTGGGAATGACAGTCTCTTCAGGGTTTGACATCAACCGTTGATGTACTGTGCAAAATAATTGACAAATGATCAGAAAGCTGAAAATCGTTGATTTTTCAAAACTGCTGTGAATATATGTTTTGTAAGCGTTGGGCAGATATGTAAAAATGAATAAAACTTCAACAGACACAAAAAGAAAACAAGACAAATCTGTGAGGGCTGTGGTATGGAGAAGAAAGGATACGAATTGAGGTATGATCCTGTGGAAGGATGAACCCTTGTACCCGAAACCTTTCTCATGAGTACACAGGCACTTGAAATTTTCTGAGAATGAAGCAAATGTTAAAACGTAAAAATCAATTCCAGGTATGGCAAAAATAAAACAACATTAGAGGGACAATAGAAGCAATTTTTCAAACATATAAAAGTATACAGAACATTCTAAAAATACGGTATAACCAAAAAAATAGTTTCTTGCCTCTAGTTTAAGAACAAAATACAAAGATGTGAACAGTGAGTAGCGATCCGTGACATGAGTTTCAGTTTGTCTTTCTGCTTTCAGTATCATTCTGTACCAAGGGAAAACAGACTGCAAAGAGTCTACAACAGTTCAAGGTGCTTTCCAATTCCCATCTTTGTAAGAGAGTATGTCTGGATCGATAACAACAACAACGTAAGAGAGTATGTCTGGATCGATAACAACAACAAAGTAAGAGAGTATGTCTGGATCGATAACAACAACAACGTAAGAGAGTACGAAAATGAGGAACCACCTCAGTATTCCTGTGTGGTGACCACCAAAAACTCCTTCATGTCACATCTCAGTTTCCAACACTAGACCACATTTGGAACAGAGAACAGAAAGGAGAAACGGAAAAAAAAAATAAGGAAAGAGGAATCTTGACCTGAGAGACTTCCAAAAATGTATGTTATCCAATCAAAATAAAATTTTACTGTAGACATTACATACTTAAAGGGAACAAAATAACTACTGTTTGGATTGACCCATACTTTGAGATTGAAGAAATGATGTAGGTTATTTAGGTAGTGGCACAAATGTCTTTCTTACCTTGCCCAGGACAACCTTCATCAAGTCAAAGGGAATACACAACAGGTATAGAAGCCAAGGGCTGTTACTCTTTCTGTATTTCACTACAACTCACATATCTGTCTGCCCTGCTCAATGGCAGTCGTAAAACGCACTCTACTATTATCCCCTACCAGGCTCCAAAGGCAAACAAGTGACTTTCCATGAAACTTTTGTTTTTTGGATATATTGAAAGTTCGATGTCTTCTGCTTCATGATAAAAACAAACAACCATAATCGACTATAAATATTTTATTTTGATTTAGTTTGGAGGTGTGTGTGGTTTGTTGTGAGCTTGGGTGACGAGATAAAGAAGTTTGGACCTTGCTAGTGTGTAGCTGTGAGATTATTTTTAGAACCATTACCTCATGGCCACCTTTGCTTCAACTAAAGATTCTCCACTACTGGAAAATCTTTGCTCCAACGTTCTTCGTTCGCAACTATTTTTAGATTTTGACCCCGTTTCGAGCATGAATGGTCGGAAATGTAAACAACTGTGATTGGCAAAACGGAGTAAAAACAGGAACTTCTAGCTCACTTCAAGCTTGTTTACGTAAACAGCTGACTGTGTGGGCGTGCCCTGCTAGCTGCTATCGTCTGTTGATCTTTCAGTTTTATACTTGGATTGACTTTAAAAATTCGTTTTTATTGTGTTTTATAGAGCTTTTAAAGGATTACTTAACCTTCCTCTAGATCTCTCAGAGCGGACTCCTTACCGAGAGGCCACCGAGGCGGTCTATGTGCATGTGTGTGTACGTGTGTTGATGTGCTTGTATGTGTGTGTATGTGTGTGTGCGTGTGTGTGCTCTCGTGTATTTATGGTGCAATTGCAAACGCATAATCAGGTAGCGTAAATACGGCACGTAAGCCGACTCGCGGCCTTCCCAGCGCGTGGTTTCAGTGAAATGGGGGGTAATTCAGATCTGTTTCTTTGCTCTTCTGCTATAAAACACCAAATGCTGAACACTTTGAAAAAGTTCTGATTTTTTTCATTATAATACTTATAAGTTGTTTGTATATCTGAGTATATGGAGCTGGAGAATCGCAGTGGAAAGGGAAGCCCGTCGCAGTCGGAATGCGAGGTCCCCCGGTTCAAAATTGACACCCATGCATTCGAATACTTTGCAGAAAGATTGATGATTAAATACCGTTTTTTCATTGGCAGAGAACTATACAGCTACGAGTGTGGTTTCCCGTGGTTATTATTTTTAGCCTTTAGAGTTTAGAAAGAAAACCTTGAAAAAAAAGGGTGTAAGTTTTCAAAGATCATTTTTAACACGAAAAATGAGTAAAATACCGGCTAAAAAAGGTACCAATAGAAAAAAACAGTTCTTCTATTAGAATAAAGTCATGGGCTTGGAATTATTTTGCAGGAATCCTTTTGCGAAACTATCGGGAGCACTCAGTATACTACAGCCATAGAGTACTATCAGAGAGTAAAGAGTCTCTGGTACTATAGTGTACATCTATGACTACAGCAGAGAGGGTTGACTACAGTATAGAGGCGGCTCGCTCGCCGCGGGGGCCGGTGCGACGCCGCCCGAGACAAAGCTCGGTGTTTTTATTGAAATAACGACAGACCATTGTATTTGAGGCAATAAAATACTGACTTGTAGTGATCTCACAGTCTTGAAAAATATTAGGCTTCATTTGTAAGTTATGGTGAATGTAATCTTTTAATGTAGAGATGTTTGATGCTCTTGGTACTCTTGTACTGTCTGTCAAACATGGGGGGGGGGGGTGGCAGCCAGTTAGCGACTGTACCAATATTTTATCATTATGCTAAATGGAAACAGCTGCCATTCTCTTAAATATTGACTGAAAGGTACAAGTTTGGTACCACAATTCTCAGGAGACATAGGCCTTTCATATGAAACAGATGAATTTGACATACAGCTACTTTGAAAATGTAGTGTTTGTTACCTAGTATAATGTTAATGTTTTGTTGCATTTGACGTGAAGTCCATTCTCGTAAAAATTTTGTTTGGTTCATAAGTTTTTTCTCTGCAAATGAATGGTTTTCTACCTTTGTATGTAACCTTGTAGTGGCACAGCCAAGATAACTGCTAAATGTCAAGTCTCCATCTCAGTTCTAAGACACCCATTGCTATGGAAACATGTTGCTCAACTTTGGTGACCATTTTCTCCTTTTCGTGTTCCTCACCTGGCACAATTAAAAGTTCTGTAATTTCGTCAAATATGGTCATATATACTTCATTATTGTTATAAATTGTAGGGAAAACATGATAGTTTTTAAAAATAATGTTAACTTGGTTTTGAAATTTCCGTCATATGACTGATAATTGACTGGCAGGGACACATATGTGGGAGAATTTGTTCCGTTGTCTAACCATTCGCAACTCACCCGCTGTCTTCGGAACCACATCCGCTCTCAGTTCAATGATCACCCGACCCGTGTCCTGGTTTCCTATTTTGATGTCCAAGAACACCTGAGGATTGCTTGTGGGCCGTGACTTCTTGGCTGGTGAGGCACTCTCCTACAGAAAAGCGAAGTGAATTCAAAAATGTTTGTCAATTGGAAGTTTGAAACCTGTTTACAATTACTGTTATCAATTCTATAGAAATAGCCACAGAAATAAGGTTTATTTTCAACAAAACAAGATTGACAATTGTGATAGATAACCATAAAACTTCTGTATGCTGCTTAAACTCGAGAAGCACCTTAAACCTCAACAATTCTGTGTCCGAGCAGCAAAGCAAATCTGAACGTCCAGGTGGAAACAGTTTGCATTTCAAAAATGGTGAAGTAAATAACATATATATACACTCACATCAAAATTAGGTGGAGTTAAAATCTGAATCAAAATGCAGTTCAGTTTAGATTATTTAGAATGTAAATTAGAACAGCATTCACGTCTATGCTTAGAGAGAGTGGGAGAAGAGAGAGAGAGAGAGAGAGAGAGAGAGAGAGAGAGAGAGAGAGAGAGAGAAAGAGAGAGAGAGAGAAAGAGAGAGAGAGAGAGAGAGAAAGAGAGAGAGAAAGAGAGAGAGAGAGAGAAAGAGAGAAAGAGAGAGAGAGATAGATAGATAGAGAGGGAGAGAGAGATAGAGAAAGAATCACTTTTGAGGAACCATTTTCTTGGTACTATTATGAAGCCCACTGGGCCTTTTCTTTGTGGAAATACACTCTACACTCTATAAATACTCTATACATTCTATAAATACACTCTACACTCTATAAATACACTGTACACTCTATAAATACTCTATACACTCTATAAACACACTCTACACTCTATAAATACTCTATACACTCTATAAATACTCTATACACTCTATAAATACACTCTACACTCTATAAATACACTCTACACTCTATAAACACACTCTACACTCTATAAATACTCTATACACTCTATAAATACACTGTACACTCTATAAATACTCTATACACTCTATAAATACACTCTACACTCTATAAATACACTCTACACTCTATAAACACACTCTACACTCTATAAATACTCTATACACTCTATAAATACACTCTACACTCTATAAATACACTTTATTACCATTCCCTCAAAGGAAGCCTGTCTCCAACCTTACAACCACAGACTGTGCAGAAGCTTACATACATGTGAAGCTCATTCCTTTCCTCACCTGTACCTCCTCGGCTGCCCTCTTCTCTCCCTTGTCTTCTGTGGCAGCATCATCAGCGTCTCCGTCCTCACCTTCTCCTTCCTTATCCTTCAGCGTGGCTCCAGCATGCTGCTGCAGCCAAGAATCCTCGGACCAAACTGAAAACATTCACACAATGAGGAAAACTTTGACAATGAAGCAAATGTTATATATGAGCTTGTTGTTGCGGAGGTGATCATGATGTATGCTTACGTTGGAGACAATTACAGGTCAAAAAGGGATCAGATGAAATGAGAAGACTGTTAATCCTCCAAAGGAGGAAATTCACAGCTTTTTTTTTTTGTGGTTTCTTTTGACCGAAAAACGAAGGTGTCAATTGCAAACGTAGTGCAGCCTCCGTTCGTGTTTAGGGAGGGAAATCCTGTTAGTGGTGGTAGTGCTGCTAGGCAAAAGTTCTGTTCCTTCTTCCCCTATTGAGCTAAGTCTTCAATCCCTACAAAAAGGCAGACAGTACTTCCATCCTGGACAGACATTTTGTTTGGTTCACAAGCACTTCAAACGACTAACTTTGTGAAATCCTCATTAATGACATCATCGCTGGGTCTAAGATTATCACTTTTTTTTTTTCCTTGACAATGGGTGGTTGTTTTGGAAACGTTTGACTTAACTTGAGAAATTGTAAATAACATATTTCCTATGCATGCTCCTTCTACTTTCAACTGCATCATCAGTTTTTACCAGTAGCTGACTCAGATTAAACAGCTCCAAGACTATATCTATCAAGAACGATCTCAGGAACTTTCAGTGACAAGCCACAATAAAAGAACTCACCAGCCCTTGATGCACCCTCTTTCATTTTCATTGGTTTGGCAAGGTTCACACGTATCGTCCTTCCAAACAATTCTGACTCATTCTGAAAGAATAACATGTGTTCATGCAAATGTAACAAAACAAAACAAGAGAAGACAAAAGAACAAAAGAAGGAGGAAAACTTAACCCTTTGAGCCCTAGCCACAGGCACACCAGCGGTGCCTAAAATTGCTCGCATGCATAGCCACTGGTACAGCTGTGAGCGAGACCCTACCCCCAGACCAGCCCATCTGAGACAAAATGCGCACAGGAAACCGTGTGTACTGCAAAGGATGTTACTAATTATTTTGAAGACCTTTCTGAAACATGCTGGTAATCTCTAGGACTACCCCGAGTGGGATATGAAATGTGATTCTGACGATCCTATTAAGGTTAGTAATATATCACCCAGGAGGTCAGGAAGAGGGGCATGGTGCTCTCAGGAGGTCAGGGCATAAAGGATTAAGAACTGACATTCACTTGGAATCTAATTTTGATGATCAGAAGGAATGGCACTGACCTCTGAATACAGATCAAGAACCAGATTGTAGTTTCATGTGTTCTCAGAGAGAATGCTCAAACGCCTTCCTAATGAAACCTTTGACCAGTTGCCCTACTCCAACCACAACACTAGGAAGGAAATACTCAACGGCAAGATGTGGGGTTAAAGGGCCAAGGGTGGGCACAGGATGCCGTGGGCCGATAACATCAAGACATGGACTCGCTTAAGTGGGACAGACACGCCGTCACTTTTCGCCCGATTCTGTTACTTTTAGTTAGCATGACTCAGCAGCCCGCCGGAGCTCCCAGGCTCGGGTCATGGGGTTAATGAGCCCTGAAGTGACTTTGCCGGTGTCGGTTAGGACGTTCGCATTTTTGACTATGTTTAAAACGATATAACTTCTTCCCCATCCCACACAGCAAACCATTACGCGAATGTACTAAAAGCTCAATGTCTTGAAATTTATTCTGCGTTAGAATGGTTAATTTCTGTGCCTTAGTTTTTGTTCTAGACAAGTGTTTGTAGAGTACCCAATTTGTCCTATTTTAGTTACAAACTTATGAATAAATGATTGTTAATTTTAAAAGGCTCGACAGATCTCTCCAAAATCTGTGTTAAACTGACTACGAATATCATGTCTTTAACCGTGAGAAATCTTAAATCTGCGGTAGTAGTAATAGTCAAGTTATAAGAGAAGAAAGATGCACGTCTGTATTTTTTAACTAAAAACGATCAGCGTTAGCTCTTATTTTATTATTAAACAAGAGAAAGTTACTCTGCATTTGTTCATGAATCATGCTGTGTCTGTGGCAGCCTGCATACAACTAAAAAAATTTAATATAAGCGATTAAAAACCCCAACAAAACCGTGTAAATATATGGGTAGAGATAAACTTCTTGTATGGAATCAAAATAATGACAACTAACACAACACATTCATTCTTAGTTTTTGTGTAGGAAATATGCGCGGACACAATTATGAATGTAAAGAAATCTGTCACATTGTCAGTTATTGCAAATAGTCATAGAAACGAAAAATAAAGTTGAAAAGTCTGGTGCTGATTCAGTGTCCCTGGAAAGCTAGAAATTATTCTTATAACCCAATTACGAGAAGTCATCCCTATTACTCAGTCAACTTACAAAACCTAGACTTTGCGTTTCAAGAAAAGTTAGGAATTTCGGGAGTGTAACAGACACTGTTCGTGTATTAAATTGAAGGTGTATTCTGGCACTAAAATCGATTTGTACTTTATTCATAAAGAAACTTCACGGTAACTTTTATAAACTTTCGTGAAAATATGCGAATATTCACCCTTATATTAGTCACAAAAAGTTGTATTTGTAGAAATTACTTCATAGCGAATTGTGTGCCAGATGGATAAAGTTGCAAAATTACAGCCTTCTATTATATGCGCAGATACCATCTTTTCTGAGTGTCTGCACCAATGTTATATCGTTCATGTTCCAAAAGTTCGACAGATTTTGTCGAGGTCCTTTTTTTATATTGATTTTTTTTCATTCACGCTAGTTCAAAAAAATTTACAATTTAGCATTACCGACTCCAGCGTGTCTAACGAAATAACCAGGCAAGTTACAACGTCCGTTCTTTTTTGAGTCTCAAGAGCAGAAATGCATGCTTTGGGTGCACTAAACAAGAGTTACCATAAATACAAGGATACACCTAAAATTGTACGTTGAAAAGTACCAAAAATTAAGTCGGCCGAGACAGAGCGGCGACAGGGAGCTGACCCCCGTGACCCCGACGTGATAAGGCACCCAGAGGGGAACCCCCCGCGGCAACTAAAATTCCACTGCCGGTGCGACGTGCAGAGTGTATAACAGCTCTGTAAGCACTGGCAGATCATTGCCCGTCAAACTCTGAGCCAGGGATGACACCTCCACGTATCCAGGTATACCACTCCAAACTCACCATCCTACCTTCTCATCACACCACAACACAGCATTACAGTCTCTAATACACTCTCATCGCTAAATCTATAGGTCTACACTACTTTTCCAGTCAGCAACATGTCCTAATTATAGGTGAGACAAGCAATGTTGAACAAGCCACAACGTCCTAGGTGAGACAAGCAATGTTGAACAAGCCACAACGTCCTAGGTGAGACAAGCAATCTTGAACAAGCCACAAAGTCCTAGGTGAGACAAGCAATGTTGAACAAGCCACAAAGTCCTAGGTGAGACAAGCAATGTTGAACAAGCCACAACGTCCTAGGTGAGACAAGCAATCTTGAACAAGCCACAAAGTCCTAGGTGAGACAAGCAATGTTGAACAAGCCACAAAGTCCTAGGTGAGACAAGCAATCTTGAACAAGCCACAAAGTCCTAGGTGAGACAAGCAATGTTGAACAAGCCACAAAGTCCTAGGTGAGACAAGCAATCTTGAACAAGCCACAACGTCCTAGGTGAGACAAGCAATGTTGAACAAGCCATAACGTCCTAGGTGAGACAAGCAATCTTGAACAAGCCACAACGTCCTAGGTGGGACAAGCAATCTTGAACAAGCCACAACGTCCCACTAAAAAGCACCGGTGTACTAAATCCCGTGCCAGACGTGCGAGGTACGCTCACCACTTTTCCCTCACATTTTCATTATCCACTGTACAGATACAAGACACAATCTTCTCTCTTCCTACAAGTACACAGACGCTATCATCTCTTCATATGGCAAAATATGACTTTCAGTGAACAGGCTGAGGCTTTCATTTCAATCCATTTATATTGCATAATATGTTGAAAAAAAACCCATAAATTTCTTTCAAGTCACATTTTTTCTCTCCTAAATTCTGGGAGACAGTACAACAAACTTCACTCTGACTTTCAAAAACTTTTAGCTTACCATGTTGTCAATAGCATGAGCAGCATCCTGCAATGAAAGCAGAAAACAAAATATCAGCTTTTACAGGAATAAAAATCATAAATGTAGTAATATTAGTGTTTTCCCATATATGAGTAAAATAACAAGTGCTCCATTCCTCCAACAGGGTAGCACATACAGGCCTAACTCTTTATCTCCGGCTAGCTGCCCCCAGCGGCTCGAGGACGCAACCGCTGTGCTGGAGAGCTGCCGGCAGCGGCTCAGGCACATTCCTTTTTGATGACTTCAACATCAAATTACTTTTCGGCAAAGGCTAAAAACAGGTCTCTTTCACAAGGAGATCATTTATGAGATGAAGAACTATCGAAATAGGTTTTGACTCGTTTTGATTTAGTGATTAGTGACCCATTTAGTGATGTTTTTGTTTATTTTAGATTTCGTACCAAAAAAGAGGCCTGGCATAGTGGGTGTACCTCCCACGGAGTGAAAGAGTTCAACATTCACAAACGACACAGACAAATGAGGTAGTGATTCCCTTCTTTTAGGATTCACACTAGTACTCAATGTAAAGAACAAATCTGCAAATACTACAGAACTTTCAAGTGCCAAATAGAGCAGTCATGTAATATGATCAAAGTTCACACAAGATACTTTCAGCCATAACACATGAAGACCACAACTGTGAAAAAAACTAAACAGCCACAGCCACACAAACAGCCACACAAACAGCCCCACAAACAGCCACACAAACAGCCAAACAAACACAAACACATGTCCCACTACGCAGCGGCTGACACGCTGCACCCATGTAGAAGAGATGGAAAAGAAAATACTTTACAAGGATGACACCTTACCTCTGCACCCATGTAGAAGAGATGGAAAAGAAAATACTTTACAAGGATGACACCTTACCTCTGCACTCTCAAACTCAACAAAGGCAAATCCTCTGTGTTTTTCTGGGGATAACAAAAGACCATGTAAAAATGTCTGTCATTTGACAGGAGGACCCCCTCCCCCTCCCTCTTTTCCCCTTACATTCAAAACACATCCAAATTTACAATTAAGACTAAATTCTACAATTGTCTATTCAGTCTGAGTCTAAAGGAGGAAAGTTGAGGAGAAAAGAATAATAAAATTCATAAAAAACCTTGTACCTCACAACCCATTAGAAGACAGGTCCTTTTTTGACTACTGGAATTTGATTTGATTTTTGTTGTTGTTGTTGTAAAGAGTTGGGGCCCCATTTCCAGCAATCCTATTCTTCCTCTTCTTTCATTTTTATCCTCACTTCCAACATATTTTCTGCACATTTCACCATATTTTGATAAAACATGTACAACTCATATAGAATGAATCATGGTAAAACACTCACTGCAATCCTCTAGGAAGTTGCAGGCATATGTATGGAAAAATGAAATTATATTCACAATTCAGGGACAGGACACAAGGGAGTGTAATTTCCTTGTGTTCCTCATGCAGTATCATGGTTTGATATCTTTGCCTTCAATTTCTCTACCCATGTGAAGTATGAAGGAAAGAACATCCACTTTTATTCATCATTTAAAATTGAAATCTAAGGGAGTCGTACAATCCCTCACAAGTCTCACCAATAGTACGTTCATATTTTCTCATCATCATACCCTTCAGTGTGAGTGTTCAGCTTGTATGTATGTATTACGTAAAAGTGGTGGCTGCAACTTTTGTTTAACACACTACCTGTTTCATAATCCAAAGGCATCTGAATGTCGACAATTTCACCAAAAGGAATGAATGCTGCGTGTAGAATTTTCTCATCAGTTTCTTCTGCACATCCACCTGTCACAAAAGAATACAAAAGTGACAATTGTATTTTTAAAATCAACGAATATGAGATTGAACAATGCTTCAATATACGCATGCACGTGAAAATCACGTAGTTCCATGCTACAGTTCCTCCCCAATAAAGTATAGGGTGAGGGATCACTTTTTAATTCATTTTTTAAATCGATAAACATGATTAAATTCAGGAAAGGATCAACCAGGTGCTCCAGCTGTGGCTTCTGACCATACAGATATTACGAAAATTCAAATGTTCAATAAATAGTTATCTGGTCTAAAAAAAAAGACTCAAATTCCATAGAGTGAATACATGGCACGAGGGACCATATCATATCACATATTCATCATAATAATAATAATGATAAAGATGGATGAAAGTGAAAGAGATCTTAAACTTCTGTGATACAGCTGTGGAAAAAAAAGAAGAATGCAAGCTTAGATTGTACTTTGTTGGCATACATTGTTCATGACATCATAGTCATGATCATAGAGCATTCCAGTAATTTCCACTTGCACCTCCTGGGACTACTTCTTAAATTTTGATTCATCAGATCACAGTCTGAGTCTAATTTTCTATGTTCTTACCTATACTATACTGACTATACTAGATCTCATCATCAGTGCCTTTCATCCCTGGCAGGGTATAGGCCACACACAAGCTCCTTCCATTTATCACTGTCCTGAGCCATCCTTCCAAGCTCGTTCCAAGTGAGCTTCATCTCTCTCATGTCTCTTTCTACAACATCTCCTCCATGGCCTACCCCTGCCTCGTGCTCCCTGTGGGTTCCACTGCAGTGACTGTCTTGTGATGTTTCTGCTGGGCTTTCTGAAGGTGTGTCCCATCCATCGCCACTTTCTTAGTCCTATTTCTACTTCTATATCCTTTTGTCCTGTCCTTTCCCACAGCTCTTCATTTCTTATTCTATCCTGCCACTTAATTCTTAATCTTAGGATACTTCTCATATATATCTGTTGATGAAAGTCTGGACTTCTATCTTTGTTGTCTTCCAAGTTTCGCAGCCGTAGAGGAGCACAGACTTGACATTGGAATTAAAGAGTCGAATCTTGGTGCGCAGTGAGATGTTGCTTGCTTTCCAGACTTTTGATATAATTGCTTGAATGCTGACCTTGCCTTGGCGGTTCTTGCTTCTATAATACTAGATCTAGTGGTCAACATAAGTTTACAGTCATGAACATACTTAACTGTACTACATTGTCAGCATGGCATGATCTCATTCCGCCTCTGATTCCAATTAAACACTACAGGCCAGGGGTTCTCAACCTGTGGGTCGCGTGACCATTCTTGTGGGGTCGCGAGATCATTGAGGATTTTGTGCTTAATGATCCTCTGAAAACTACAACATTGCTCTTGTGTTCTTTACCTGAAAACATCGGCGCTTTTCGGTAGTTCCCACCCCGCATTTGTTATTCGCCGGTTTTGGCCCCAAGAGTAGGGGGGTTTCAGGGGGGCTTGCCCCCCTGAATTTTACCACAATTTAATGTTTTGCAGTTGTTAGGTTTGACATCTTAGCTTGCCACGAATCAAACGTATATAGATCTAGATGTAGGTCAGGCTCTATCAAATAAGGGGGGGTGGGAACTACCGAAAAAGCGCCAAAGCCAAAACATCAATACCGAATATTTAAATCAGTATCGATATTCAGTATTCTGTGTGGAGGATATCAAGTCTAAACAGACGGGACCCACATTCTGAAGTAGACTCTAGATCTAGATCTAGATTATATCTAGATCTAGATAGATCTAGATCTAGATCTAGATCTAGATCTAGAATCTAGTACTCTAGAAATCTAGATCTAGATCTTCTAGAAATGGAATTCAGACAGTGGTTTCTTATTAAAGACTAGAGATCTAGATCTAGATCTATGTATCAATAAAAACTTAGATCTAGATCTAATCTCGATCTACATCTGTCTAAGAAAAGACATCAGAATTACATCAGCTTCATAAATCCGCCAATAATGAACAAAATCATTACTCTCTATGCTTACCGACATAAACAAGTCGTTTGTTCGTGGACGCAGCCATCTTGCTAAAAATGAATGTTCAAAACTTGTACCGGGTATTTTGTCTACTATAATTAAAGTCTCAAAATGAAATACCACATACAAGTTTGTTTATCAAGATATAACTGTCATTTTTTAAATTTGATTATTGCTGAAATAATTTGTTCAAGGCAGCCTATCTACATATAGATCGAGGACCTACACCTTTCAATATAATTTAGTTCGTATTCTATTTTCTTGAATGTTTTTAGGTGATATATTCCAAAGCCAATTAGCCAATGTCTGTCCGACAAAACATTAAAATACCTGGCAAATGGCAAATTAATGGTTGATAAACAATCATGTCGTCTCTAACTGGAAAGCAAAAATCTTCAAATTTGGAAAAGTCTCTTGGTAAAGGGAAGCCTGAGGTATTTTATATGTTGTTGCTGCAATTTGATGCGTTTTCATGTTGCGCTTTACTTCTTTCATGCTACAAACTCATTTCAAAGCCCTGTCAGTCTCTGTACTGTGTAGATCTATAGTGTAGTAGATTCTATGTAAGTCTTGTATTATTAGTGCAGTTCACCAACTTGTGTGAAGTGATTGCATCCTTCATTTTCATGGACCCTGGATTCCACTACGGGGTTCAACTTAACCACTGGGATCTTGAAAGAAGAAGAGGTGAGGACTGGAGAAAAAGATCAATGCAAGAGGGGTCGACAGTTTGACTTGTGTTGTGTAGTCTAGTAGTGTATCTTGTTTGACATGGAGTTGCCCCACCCACTCAACCAATAATGGTCATGATCGTCATTACAGTCGTTTCCGCCTGAGATCCGGTTGCTACGGCGTGGAGCAATATAAATGCGGTAAATTAGGTGTCCAGAGAATATATGGATGTTTAACTTCACTTCTTAACTCATTCGCTACGTATTATTTTCGGCTTGTGGACGAATTTTTTTTCGGGAGAGCGAAAGAGATGATGACTAGTGGGCAGTTAAAAGGTCTTTGGGGCCACAAATTCAAATAAATATCAACGTATTATATACCAATATTTTCAGTATGGTTTGTAGAATACACCTGTAATGTTTATTTATGTATTTTTCAACTTTGGTTCCTGTAAGAGACGATTATGCAACACAGGGCTATTTACCTACTTTCCATAATAATAATATTTGTACATTTTGAACATAGGCCGTCGTTATTCGGACTCGAGTCCGAATAACATTTTTTCATATTCAGACTCGAGTCCGAATAAAAAAAGGTCCGGAAAAAGGGAAGTGTCTTCGTTCTATAGATCTAACGTTCAGTGCTTCCAATTTTCTGCCATTTTTTAGTTTCCCCCACACCTTATCTGCCGATCCAATGCCCGCCGCCTCATTGATACGCCGCCCCCCCCCCCCCCCCCACGTTTCCTGCTTTCTTTGTTGTAGAAAAAGGTAAAATTGAAGATTAGCAGACCACCTGGCACCTGCATATTATGAGCTGTGTAAAAAAAAAAGTCCGATTCGTTCAAATACACAAGCCTGTGTCATTCGATTGTTTACCAAGAAAAAGTTGTATTGCTGTGTAGAGCTGAGCATACGGCAACTTTTGATTCCATAGACCAGCGCACAATTCATTACGTAGATCTACGTCAATACTATCTTATTATTGCAATAATGATCAGTTGCCGGGGGGAAAAAGACTGACGCGTATGCGACGTTCAAAGCCCGGACCGATAGTGCCCCCCCCCCCAACCACCCTCCCCGACACGCACACAGCCACACGTGTGCAGGCCGCCCATCCGACCCCGACACACGCTAACGAGCCATCTTTAATTGCTTCTGATGACCTCTTGACAAATAAACATTTATTAGAAGAGCTTATATAACTTTTCAGGCCGGCCTCAAATTCATCATAAGATTAAAACTCGGCTCCTGCACAAAACGCCTTTTTGCCCGAAGTGATCCCGGTCTCTACCCAGCCTGAGGCGAGTCACGAGTGAGGCAGGACAGGAAGCCGGATTCATGAGTCACAGGAAGACGGAAGTGATGTCATGCTGGACAAGAATCAGAGTCCGAATAACATTTTTTCATATTCGGACTCGAGTCCGAATAATCACTTCGTTGAACATAACGTCCGATATTGAAAAAAAAATATTTTTTTTATAATCTTGAAAAACGATCACAAACAGAAAAAAACCCGCTCGTATCTTATATGGAATTATTGAGAATTGCATTTGGAATACACCTAAACATGTCTTGAGTGGCACTTTTTGTGTAATTTCTTCAAAAAGTAGTGATTTTGGGGAGAAAAAAATATTTTGACTATTTAGATCTAGACCTAGATCTAGCACTCAAAAATATTGATTTCTCAATAACAGTGCATTGGTAATATGAGCCAATCATATCAATATTATAAAAAAGAGTCCTTTAGTGGGCAAAATAATGATAGATTTTGTTGCGTAAAATTACAAAAACTGGTGTCCGGGCTATAATTTTGGCATCGCGATAAAACAAAGTCGAATAAACTACGACATCGCGTTTCAAAACTGAATCTAAATTTCTGATTTTCAGTGGAAATGCTTGACCCGGAAGTCAACATTATATTATGACCTTTATTTTAACATGGATATGTGGATTGGAATAGAATCTAAGCTAAAATTGAAGATCGGTTCTCGTGCCGCTGGGGGCGGCTTAGCGTACTGACGGCACATTAGCCGCGCCGCCCCCCACGGCTCGGCGTAGCGAATGAGTTAAGGAACTGGGATTGAACACCAAGCTGAGGATCTTCAAAACAAACGTTTAGACTGGCTCACAGCATCAGCAGCAAGCAGGGTTCCCGCGGCCTCCTTGAATTCAAGGAGTCCTTGAAAACTGCTTGAATTTGCATTTAAGGAAAAATGTCCTTGAAAACTCCTTGAATTTTGCCAGATCGGACAGGAACACAGGGTGACTGCCAGGCCCTGGGAATCCCGGGGGCCCCTGGAATTACCCAGGATATAAAAAAAATCGCAGAGACCCGGAATGCAACGGAAATTTGGAGAAATCTGGGTGCTTTTTCGCTAGTTCCCACCCCCTTTATTTGAGCCTAGATCTCTCTAGATTCTAGAGTCTACATCTAGAAATCTAGATTCTAGATCTATACGTTTGATGCGCGGCGAGCTAAGATCAAACCTAACAACTGCAAAACAGTAAATTAAGGTAAAATTTAGGGGGGGGCAAGCCCCCCCCCCCCCCCCCCCCCATACTTTTATTCGGTCAGCCCCCCCTGAAACCCCCAGCTACTCTGGGCCAATACCGGCGAATCAGCATTACGGGGTGGGAACTACAGAAAAAGCGCCTAAATCTATAAATTGCCTCGTGAAAGACCCGGGAAACTACATAAACGTTCTCGAATATTTGAAAACCAAATCCGATAACGTCCTTGAGTTAATTTTTGCCGGTCGCGAGCCACAAGGAAAATGTAAGAAAGGAAGATCAAAGATGATGTGGAGGCGAGCGGTACAAGCGGAAATGGAAAGGGCGGGGACATTATTGAAACAGTTAGAAAAGGATGCTCAGGACAGGCTTCAAGCCGGAGAAATGTTGTTGATGGCCTCTATGCTCCACTGGGAGCTGAAAAGAGCAAGAGAGAGAGAGAGGTGACAAGAATCCTAGCCGGATCATCAAGGGCCTTGGGGAGAATCCACAGTGGTTCATCACGAATGAATCATGGTCAGGCCCACAATCAGTAAAAAATGACGTCCCTTTCACGGCGCACCGGCAGTGGAATTTTAGTTACCGCGGGGGGTTCCCCGCCGGGCGCCTTTTATCACGTCGGGGTCACGGGGTCAGCTCCATATCGCCGCTCTGTCTGGGCCGACTTAATTTTTGGTACTTTTCAACGTACAATTTAAGGTGCATCCTTGTATTTATGGTAATTCTCATTTAGTGCACCCAAAGCACGCATTTCTGCTCTTGAGACTCAAAAAAGAACGGACGTTGTAACTTGTCTGGTTATTTCGTTAGACGCGCTGGAGTCGGCAATGCTAAATTGTAATTTTTTGGGGACTAGCGTGAATGAAAAAAAATCAATATAAAAAAAACGCATCGTCAAAATCTGTCGAACTTTTGGAATATGAACGACATAACATTAGTGCAGATACTCAGAAAAGATGGTATCTGCGCTTATAATAGAAGGCTGTACTTTTGCAATTTTATCCATCGGGCACACAATTCGCTACGAAGTAATTCCTCCAAATACAACTTTATGTGTCTAATATAATCATGAATATTCGCATATTTTCTCGAAAGTTTATAAAAGTTATCATGAAGTTTCTCAATGAAAAGTACAAATCGATTTTAGTGCTAGAATATATCTTCAACGTAGATCTAATACACGAACAGTATCTGTTACACTCCAGAAATTGCTTACTTTTCTTAAAACGCTAAGTCTAGGTTTTGTAAGTTGACTGAATAATAGGGATGACTTCTCGTAATTGGGATATAAGAAGAATAATTTCTAGCTTTCCAGGGACACTGAATCAGCACCAGACTTTTCCAGCTTTTTTTACGTTTCTATGACCATTTGCAATAACTGACAATGTGACTGATTTCTTTACATTCATAATTGTGTCCACGCATATTTCCTGCACAAAAACTAAGAATGAATGTTTTAGCTGTCATTATTTTTATTCCATACTAGAAGTTTATCTCTACCCATATATTTACACAGTTTTGTGGTTTTTTAAATCGCTTATATTATATCTTTTTAGTTGTATGCAGGCTTCCACAGACACAGCATGATTCATGAACAAACGCAGAGTAACTTTCTCTTGTTTAATAGTAAAATAAGAGCTAATGCTGATCGTCTTTAGTTTAAATATGCAGATGTGCATCTTTCTTCTCTTATAACTTGACTATTACTACTACCGCAGATTTAAGATTTCACATGGTAAAAGACATGATATTCGTAGTCAGTTTAACACAGAATTTGGAGAGATCTGTCGTGCCTTTTTAAAAATAACAATCATTTATTCATAACTTTGTAACTAAAATAGGACAAATTGGGTACTCTACAAACACTTGTCTAGAACAAAAACTAAGGCACAGAAACTAACCATTCTAACGCAGAATAAATTTCAAGACATTGAGCTTTTAGTACATTCGCGTAATGGTTTGCTGTGTGGGATGGGGAAGAAGTTATATCGTTTTAAACATAGTCAAAAATGCGAACTTCCCGACCGACACCGGCAAAGTCGCCTCAGGGCTCATTAACCCAGTGACCCCGAGCCGGGGAGCTCCGGCGGGCTGCTGAGTCACGCGAACTAAAAGTAACAGAATCGGGCGAAAAGTGACGCCGTGCTTTACTTTGAGGTGAACTGACTGGACTGCTGAGTGGGTTTATGACTTACTGAGAGCAAAGAGTGGTTAAAATTGTGATGACCAGTCATGTCACAGTGACATCAGGAATGAAGTACCGGTATGCCATTTTCACTCACTTATAGCGCCCGTGTTAGGCGCGCATTCTGTCGATTTGGGCGATCGGTGGACTGCGCAACGCATTTCGTGGATCCATGGAATGCGCAATACTGTAGATCGATGGATTGTGCAGCGCTTTTTGTGGATCCATAGAATGTGCAACAATCTTGAGAATTATGATGAAGAGAATAATAATTTAGTTTTTTAGGCATAAGCTCAGCATAAATCATTTTGAAAGGTACAAATCATAAAGTACAAGTAGTAGTAGTAACTTAACCGCAAAAGAAGTAGACAGTGGTTTTTGAGGTGAAAATGTGTTCCTCTTTTTAAATTTATTTTTATCTATACATGTCATTCCTGTTTACTTGCATCAGGGTAAGGCATTCTGTAGTACATGTATAGTAGTCTGCTGTTTATTGTGAAGAATGTAAACAGTTTAAACTAGATATGTGTAAGGAAGCTCAAATGTGGCATTCTATCTGTTTTTGATGGTCTTTGAGACTTGTGATCGTTGGTGCCTGCTGCAGGCCTGAGACCTGCCTGAAGGAAGAGGAATTAGATATAATATAATATTATCAAGGTAAGCTATTTAGTCAAACGTATGACATTAACTTTCACTTTGTGCAATGTCAACAATATGGATATGGACGCTTATCTGATGTGTTCACCTTACTAAACTTCGTAGCAGAAAAACGAAACACTCAACACTTGGGTAAGATCTAAGATCTGTTGCACATTCTAGGGATCTACAAAAAAAGCTGCAAGATCCACCAGTCTACAGAATGCGCATCAATCCATGGATTGTTGCGCATTCCATTGGTCCACAAAATGTGTGCGCAATCCACCGATGGTGCAAATGGACAAAAGGCGTGTGACACCCATATGTGCCCGTGCCAGTAACCCCCGCTCATCCCTAAAGCCTGAATGTGCCCGTGCCAGTAACCCCCGCTCATCCCTAAAGCCTGAATGTGCCCGTGCCAGTAACCCCCGCTCATCCCTAAAGCCTGAATGTGCCCGTGCCAGTAACCCCCGCTCATCCCTAAAGCCTGAATGTGCCCGTGCCAGTAACCCCCGCTCTTCCCTAAAGCCTGAATGTGCCCGTGCCAGTAACCCCCGCTCATCCCTAGAGCACCTGAATGTGCCCGTGCCAGTAACCCCCGCTCATCCCTAAAGCACCTGAATGTGCCCGTGCCAGTAACCCCCGCTCATCCCTAGAGCACCTGAATGTGCCCGTGCCAGTAACCCCCGCTCATCCCTAAAGCCTGAATGTGCCCGTGCCAGTAACCCCCGCTCATCCCTAAAGCCTGAATGTGCCCGTGCCAGTAACCCCCGCTCATCCCTAAAGCCTGAATGTGCCCGTGCCAGTAACCCCCGCTCATCCCTAAAGCCTGAATGTGCCCGTGCCAGTAACCCCCGCTCATCCCTAAAGCCTGAATGTGCCCGTGCCAGTAACCCCCGCTCATCCCTAGAGCACCTGAATGTGCCCGTGCCAGTAACCCCCGCTCATCCCTAAAGCCTGAATGTGCCCTGGAGGAGGGTGGTTGTTTTTTTGGCCTTGAAAGACTTCTACTTTTGATATTAATGGAAGTTTTACTTGGCTAACCTGGTAGGAGAACAGTTTGAATCAGTTTATTGGCGTGTTTTTCTTGTTTAGTATCACAAAGAGTTACCTTTTGAGTGGGATCAAAAGTTGGTGTAGATTTCAGTTGTCAACACCCCATTTTGGAGTCAGCTCTGCACAGCAATGCATGAAGTCTTGAGTTTGTTTCAAGAAGCTACTGGGACTGTTTACTGTTTTCAATATTCAGCTTTATGGACTCTATATTAACTCATCAGGGGCTACTTATTCCGAATATTGTAGCAAATGATGAATCCAAAGGGTTGCTTGGCTTTAGGCTTCATAACGAGTTTTTACTTCATTTTTCTTTGTGGGTGACCTGATAGTGATAGTGAGCGACAGTAACTTATAATAGAGTTGAAAATGAGCGACAGTAACTTATAGAATTGAAAATGAGCGACAGTAACTTATAGAGTTGAAAATGAGCGACAGTAACTTATAGAGTTGAAAATGAGCGACAGAAACTTATAGAGTTGAAAATGAGCGACAGAAACTTATAGAGTTGAAAATGAGCGACAGAAACTTATAGAGTTGAAAATGAGCGACAGAAACTTATAGAGTTGAAAATGAGCGACAGTAACTTATAGAGTTGAAAATGAGCGACAGAAACTTATAGAGTTGAAAATGAGCGACAGTAACTTATAGAGTTGAAAATGAGCGACAGTAACTTATAGAGTTGAAAAAAATAGTACCCCGAAAAAGAAAAAAGCCCATGTGCCCCGCTCTTGTGTTCTTGAAATTGTTTTAGTGTAGGAAGTCGGGATATAAATTTGTACTTTGCTATCATTTTTTTCGGAAATCTGGCAACAGAGAGTGCTGTATATTATGTTAACTTGAGAAATTCTGTTGTTCTTGAGAAAAGAAACTGTCATTCTCTTCACCATAGGAACCTGAATTAAAAACTTTTAGATTTTTCCGTGTGTACATTCTCTTGTAAGGGGTATTTAAGCTAACCCTCACAGCATAAGACTATTTTTAGCCTTCACTTCCCCCTGGCAGAGGGAACAGAATTTCTGTTCTTCTTTTGTTTGAAGTTTTAGACGATCATATGAGTGGCTGACAAAACCCGCTGCATCCATTTGAGCATAGAGAAAATCAACTTTTTTGAAACTGCTGCTATACACACATACAACATGCGTAAAAGGAAGATTTTTTTGTGGCTTTTATGAAGTATGTGTTATGTTTTGGCCTAAAACACTTTTTGTATCTGATAATCTGTAACAATGTGTGCATTTATTAAAGCAAAAAATCTTGATTTTTACCAAAATGTCACTTAGCAGGTTTTTGCGTCTCACGCCCTCCTATATTGTTCAGAGACAATTGGATAGATTAACATAAAAAATACTCTTACTTGGTTTAGTGTGGCTGACGCCCTATGAGGAAAATGTGCTATAGGGCCTGAGAGAAGCAGCACTCATGAGGGAAATATGCGATTGGGGCTCTAAGGATTTAGAGTTGGAGAGTCAAGAAATGAAGCCAGTTCCAGCCTTCTGTCCTGAACATGATTGACCATGATGCTCTGTCAAGTCCTGAACATGATTGACCATGATGCTCTGTCAAGTTCTGAACATGATTGACCATGATGCTCTGTCAAGTTCTGAACATGATTGACAATGCTCTGTCAAGTCCTGAACATGATTGACAATGCTCTGTCAAGTCCTGAACATGATTGACAATGCTCTGTCAAGTCCTGAACATGATTGACCATGATGCTCTGTCAAGTCCTGAACATGATTGACCATGATGCTCTGTCAAGTCCTGAACATGATTGACAATGCTCTGTCAAGTCCTGAACATGATTGACAATGCTCTGTCAAGTCCTGAACGTGATTGACAATGCTCTGTCAAGTCCTGAACATGATTGACAATGCTCTGTCAAGTCCTGAACATGATTGACCATGATGCTCTGTCAAGTCCTGAACATGATTGACAATGCTCTGTCAAGTCCTGAACATGATTGACAATGCTCTGTCAAGTCCTGAACGTGATTGACAATGCTCTGTCAAGTCCTGAATGTGATTGACAATGCTCTGTCAAGTCCTGAACATGATTGACTATGCTCTGTCAAGTCCTGAACATGATTGACAATGCTCTGTCAAGTCCTGAACATGATTGACAATGCTCTGTCAAGTCCTGAATGTGATTGACAATGCTCTGTCAAGTCCTGAACATGATTGACAATGCTCTGTCAAGTCCTGAATGTGATTGACAATGCTCTGTCAAGTCCTGAACATGATTGACCATGATGCTCTGTCAAGTCCTGAACATGATTGACCATGATGCTCTGTCAAGTCCTGAACATGATTGACAATGCTCTGTCAAGTCCTGAATGTGATTGACAATGCTCTGTCAAGTCCTGAACATGATTGACAATGCTCTGTCAAGTCCTGAATGTGATTGACAATGCTCTGTCAAGTCCTGAACTTGATTGACAATGCTCTTTCAAGTCCTGAACTTGATTGACAATGCTCTGTCAAGTCCTGAACATGATTGACCATGATGCTCTGTCAAGTTTGTTTTGTTTGTAATTAAATCCCAATGTTTTTCTTTTCAGGTGAACATTGCAACATTCGCCGTGTTGTTTTCAGAGATTGTACAGTATAGTCAGAACCGGGTTCACACTGTGCCTGAGTTGCAAAACAAGTAAGTGATCTTGTCTTAGATGTACTCCCAGTTTCTTTGTTGTTACAAAACAAGTAAGTGATCTTGTCTTAGATGTACTCCCAGTTTCTTTGTTGTTACAAAACAAGTAAGTGATCTTGTCTTAGATGTACTCCCAGTTTCTTTGTTGTTACAAAACAAGTAAGTGATCTTGTCTTAGATGTACTCCCAGTTTCTTTGTTGTTACAAAACAAGTAAGTGATCTTGTCTTAGATGTACTCCCAGTTTCTTTGTTGTTACAAAACAAGTAAGTGATCTTGTCTTAGATGTACTCCCAGTTTCTTTGTTGTTACAAAACAAGTAAGTGATCTTGTCTTAGATGTACTCCCAGTTTCTTTGTTGTTACAAAACAAGTAAGTGACATTGTCTTAGATGTACTCCCAGTTTCTTTGTTTTCCTCATTGCCTTATAGTTAAGAGCCTCATTGAAGAATGGCCTATGTATGCTTCCATATTAATTGAGAAACTAGATCACTTACTGGAAATACGTTGATCAGGATGTGCTCTTCACTCTGTGCCTCTATCAGCTGGAACACCACACATTTGAAATACCACTTGTTTACTTTCCTATTCACCTTGATGTTTCTTCCGATATTGCTCTATTTGAATTCAGTGTGATTAATTATCGTTGTCTATTTTTTTCTCCATAAAATCATGTATGATTGAAAATGTTTACCTACTGTCCTTATTTTTGTTAGTGGCTTAAAATGATTTTGTTTTTCTTTTCATATTTATCCCTCTAAAATATTAGTGAAAGGCAGTCTGTTTCCTTATTTTTATGATAAAGCTTTTGCTTGATCAAAATAATCTCTGCTAGCCTATTGGTAGACTTTCTAGACACAAGCCAAACTGGTTGCACTGAAGAAGATTACGCTGAAAAATACTGAGGCTTCATTGTCAAATTTTTTTCCCTGTGAAATACTGACACTAGGCCTAGTAATAGTAGTACTATTTGGAAGTGATGTGAACCTTTTGAAAATGTTAAGTCACAGGAGCATGAATGTTTTGTGTGAAATCCAGAATAAATCACAAGACATAATGCTACATATGACTGATCATGTTTTCTATTTTATGAATGGCGAAAAGGAAATGCTCATTTGTGCCATGATTTCCCGACATTTCAGAGAAAAACATGCCATCTCTCCCTAAACTAACTCAGTTGTATTTGCTCTCCCCTGATTTTCAGGTTGTCAGAACTGGGCCAACATGTGGGCTCCCACCTGCTGGATGTGTTATTCCTCCGAGAGAAAGGTTACAAGAGAGAGATAAAGCTGTTGAGCATGCTGATCTTTATCAAGTCAACTTTCTGGAAGGTTTGTGGAAGTTCAAGCTTTGTATTTATTACATTGTTATGCTCATTTTATACATTCAATGTGGAACACTGAATGGTCAGATAGAGAAGTAAGCTTCATTTTGTGAATCTGTAGAGTGCCACGTGTCAGAGCATACATTGTTGACATTAGTATGTATTCTGGGCAACATTCATTTCAATCTTTTGCTATCACATGGTCTGTGGGATGGAACAACACAGTTGATGATGGCCAATGTCATCATTGTCTGAAGTTATCCAACTTCAATTTTCTAGTCTTTGTATTACAGTGACATCTAGCAAATTGTATTTCACTGCAGTTACTGCTTTCAATACGATATCACTCACAGAAGTCTACTAGGTTTCTCTTATCTAGATGTGGAGGCTACGGGTACATGGTAGAAAAGCTGTCTGTTTGAGTCGTGGCTTCAGTTGGTAGAGCATACGGCCCGTGGGAAGCAAGTATGGCTAACCAAAAAAAACCCTCAAAACCCAACTGCATAAATCTGAATTTGTGAACATTAATAACTTGAATTTAAGGTATCAGCTTTATCACTTTCCGTCGGCATAGTGTTGGCATTCTTTGCTTTGCCATCTGCTGAAAAGCGAGAATTATTATCCTTTTTGATTACATTTTAGTTGTCGATTTTCTTTGAAGTTACATGGCTTGGCAAAGCCTTTGCTTGCTGCATCTCATGTGATTAGTTACCACCTATCAATAATGGATTTTTAGGAAACCTTTTATTTTTTTGAACCAGTGAGCAGGAAAAGAAACCAGAGCTCAGAGAAAATTACGCAGGTTTTATACTTTATTTGTACCATTTTTTGTGGTCAAATTTTAAAAGTAGACCTATAACAGAAAGATAATTTTGTATCAGGTTACAGGAATGGTCTGTTTTGTTCAAAATGACAGATCAAGTTAATGAATGTATTGGCTACTGTCAAGAGCAATTTGGTGGTATTTGTTTGCAATGCAAGCTGGAGAGCTGTTAAATTGGTATGTCTGAAAAATGCGGTTGAAGTTGTGTGTTTAGGAATAGAGAGATAAGATTAACAATACTTTTACGATTTCTGTTACATATTTGCACTAATTTTTGTTTTGCTTTCTGTGTTTTTCCAGATTGTTTTTGGCAAAGAGGCTGATAAACTGGAACAAGCAAATGATGATGACAGAACGTGTATCCTTTTCGCTGAATATCAATGTCGTAGCAGCTTCATGATGTTAACCAGGGCTTCCATCCAGTCTTCCGCAATTTTGCAGATAGACCTTTGTAATTCTAGGGTAGTGTGATAACTGACAACTTGAGTGTTTTAGTGTGATAACTGACAACTTGAGTGTTTTAGTGTGATAACTGACAACTTGAGTGTTTTAGTGGGATAACTGACAACTTGAGTGTTTTAGTGTGATAACTGACAACTTGAGTGTTTTAGTGTGATAACTGACAACTTGAGTGTTTTAGTGTGATAACTGGCAACTTGAGTGCTTATTCTCTCTCTGACAAAGTGTAATTCTAGGGTAGTGTGATAACTGACAACTTGAGTGTTTTAGTGTGATAACTGACCACTTGAGTGCTTATTCTCTCTCTGACAAAGTGCCACATGTTAGAAGTATGTATTTATATTGTCCTTGACCCTGACCTTCAGATTACATCATAGAAAAGGAACCACTGGTGAATAAATTCATTTCAGTACCAAAAGACAAAGGTGAGCAATGATGTGTATGCATTCATTTTCTTGGAATTACTTTGACTTGTGTACCTTTTCTTGCTTGTTTTGCTAATGTTTTCGACAAACTTTGAAATCTTATGACTAGGAATTTTATCATCTTTTGAAGACTATGAAATTCAGAGTTAAAATCTACTTCTGTAATTGTGTGCATTTGCTCTTTGGATTATACATGTTGGGTTAGTAATCACATGTTTTGTAAAGTACTAAATTTGCAATCTCTCTTTTGAGTAAGTTTTTGAAATGTGAAAAGTTGTCTGCAGTCTTTAGAAGCTTTGTCAATCTTTGTAGATCTTGGTGACATCTCTGTTGTAATAATACTCACAATGCCTTCCCCATTTGAGAACAGTTTTACTGTGTCGTTGATTATATATATATTAATGAATATGTCACAGAATAATGTAAATATGTATTATGTGTTAAATTCTTGCAGGTAGTCTGAACTGTGCGGCATTCACTGCTGGGATTGTTGAGGCTGTTTTGAATGGTGCAAATTTTGTAAGTTTTTTCCTGGTCTCTGGTTTCATTCCTGTGTTCTGATTCAGCACAACGCTTACTTTAGAGACCAATACATTGTCTTTGCCAATGGAACCTGTCCTTGAAGCTTATGGCGTATTTGCTTTCTTCAGTCTGATTCAGATTACCTAATTAAGTGTTGATGTTGTAACTTTGACGTGTAGAAACTTCTTGACACTTTATACCCTAAGGGCCTGGACGGGAAGTCCATTGTTACATCCTTAGCAAGGGGAAGAAACCCACCTCCCGTGAATACAAGCGTTTAAAAAACACATTTAAAAAATACTTAACAAATTCCAAAAATCCTGAAAAAATAAAAGTTAAAACGAATAATAAATGTAGTTTCAGAAAAATATAACTTTATGTATGCACAAATTTTGTTGGAAATGAAAATGTTCTAACTTAAGTTCAATCGGGGTGTCCGACCCGTCACTCTCACTCTCAGCCTTGTGGTCATGCCCTAGATTTGAATTCTAGATTTTCTACGTCTTATCATCAATTTGAATCGCCCCAAACTCTTGCTACAACGTTATCATAAAAATCTGAGCCATCTGATTTGTCATATGCTTGTTTTTACTCAAATCCAGCGTTGTTTCCTTTTTTCGAACTCAATTATGTTGCTTTTCAACGAAGTTTCGGTAATGCGGTCGCACTTCTATCGGCTCTAATACTAAGACCACTGACCCGAAAAATTTCGTATCGGTATCAAACGAAAGAAGAAACTTTTTGCAATAACTGCAAATCAAAATCTCGGCCCCAGATACTTTTCGTTTCTAGAGACACAAGGTCGGCACGGGCGGTCCCGGGCGAGTCAGGGTGGAGCGTGTAAGGGAATTCCTGGATGAGTCAGGGTGGGGTGTGTAAGGGAATTCCTGGGTGAGTCAGGGTGGGGTGTGTAAGGGAATTCCTGGGTGAGTCATGGTGGGGTGTGTAAGGGAATTCCTGGGTGAGTCAGGGTGGGGCGTGTAAGGGAATTCCTGGGTGAGTCAGGGTGGAGCTCGTAATTGAATTCCTGGGCGAGTCAGGGTGGAGCTCGTAATTGAATTCCTGGGTGAGTCAGGGTGGAGCGTGTAAGGGAATTCCTGGGTGAGTCAGGGTGGAGTGTGTAAGGGAATTCCTGGGCGAGTCATGGTGGAGTGTGTAAGGGAATTCCTGGGTGAGTCAGGGTGGAGTGTGTAAGGGAATTCCTGGGTGAGTCAGGGTGGGGCGTGTAAGGGAATTCCTGGGCGGTCCCGGGCGAGTTAGGGTGTAATGTGTTAATGCATTCAATTTTTGCAGAAACTTATGTTCCATTTGAGTATTTCCACCTCTGAATTTAGAATGATAGATGATAATTAAAGTGTGTCTGCTAAGTTGTTTCTGTGGAGACATGGAGCTTCAGTTTTGCATTTCTTACTTTTTCTCTTGTGGGGGGGGGGGGGGTGTCTTTCTTTCTTTCTAGTTTAGCTGAAAAAGAAAAGAAATCCATATTGCAGTGTACACTTTTGACGTCAAATACCTTAAGTGTATCTATTATTATCCTTTTAACTGTCCTGAGTCGGTCAGTTTTTATTTTCAACGCTGTGTCTCAGATTGTTCCCTCTTTCCATATTCCCACACACTGGCAAAGATCTACATTCCCTCTTTCCATATTCCCACACACTGGCAAAGATCTACATTCCCTCTTTCCATATTCCCACACACTGGCAAAGATCTACATTCCCTCTTTCCATATTCCCACACACTGGCAAAGATCTACATTCCCTCTTTCCATATTCCCACACACTGGCAAAGATCTACATTCCCTCTTTACATATTCCCACACACTTGCAAAGATCTACATTCCCTCTTTCCATTTCCCAGACACTGGCAAAGATCTACATTCCCTCTTTCCATATTCCCACACACTGGCAAAGATCTACATTCCCTCTTTCCATATTCCCACACACTGGCAAAGATCTACATTCCCTCTTTACATATTCCCACACACTTGCAAAGATCTACATTCCCTCTTTCCATATTCCCACACACTGGCAAAGATCTACATTCCCTCTTTCCATATTCCCACACACTGGCAAAGATCTACATTCCCTCTTTACATATTCCCACACACTGGCAAAGATCTACATTCCCTCTTTACATATTCCCTGACACTTGCAAAGATCTACATTCCCTCTTTCCATATTCCCACACACTGGCAAAGATCTACATTCCCTCTTTCCATATTCCCACACACTGGCAAAGATCTACATTCCCTCTTTCCATATTCCCTGACACTTGCAAAGATCTACATTCCCTCTTTACATATTCCCAGACACTGGCAAAGATCTACATTCCCTCTTTCCATATTCCCACACACTGGCAAAGATCTACCGTAGGCTCAATTATGCGAAAAGAAATCCTGCCCCAGTTTGTCTTCTTGTTTTTATGTGTATTCTCTTTGTTTGAAGTAGCTCTTCTTTTCTCTAAGGTCTTGTTTACTGTTGAACTCAAACTTGTTTTGGTCTGTGTGAGCTATTCAAGACAAGTCAATTATAAGACTATTCTTTACAGAAAATTTGAATTTGAATTATGGCATTTTCCATTTGTGCAGGCTTTGTTTTGTTGTTGTTAAGCACGGGCAAAGTCGGCGAATAAGAAAGTCGGAAAGTCGACTCGACGTTTTCATCAAACTCTAAAAGTCGACTGTGACTGTGACTTTGACTTTACATACAGTGAAGCTACGACTTCCTATGCTCTTATAGCCTACAGGGTCATAGGTTTTGGGCTGACTACTCTATTTTTAGCTCTTCAACTTCCGGCTTTGGAAAACAAACGTTGTGGGATTACTGTAAGCCTCTAATAGTTTGTTTCTGCGTAAAATTTATTTAATCTTACTTATTCGTTTTAAAAATCAAAATTGAGCTTAAAAATAATTCATATAACCTACATATTTATGTGTAATCAACTGTTTTGATTTCATAATTATTTACGTGTTTTTGAACAACCAAATCGGATCTCTTGAAATTTGAACAAATGCTATAATTATAATATTACTGTGAAGCCAACAAAATAACGTAAGACAGCCAAGACAGCAATCATTAGTTTTACAGTAATTGTTCCAGTGACGGTGACTGCGACTGGCGCGTCAGCACTGCACGGCACTGCAACGCTGCAGGCCAGCCAGCCTCGCCCCGCACACACACACACACATGCACCCACACACGCGCGCGCCTGCACACACACACTCACACACACACACACACACACACACACACACACACACATGGGCCTAGGTCTTGATGAAAACTTTTTTTTCTTGGCTTGCTCTAACTTCGCCGCACCCACCCCACCACCAACGTTGACGACTCCCCGTTGAAGGGCAGGGGAGGCTGGTCTTGATCAACGCTAGGCTAGGTAACAGAGAGTCGAGAGTCACGAGCGACTGGTAGATGAGGGTCACAGCGTCGATCTTGGGCTCACAGTCGACTAGTCGACTAGTAAAGTCGATTTTGCCCGGGCCTAGTTGTTGTCATATGATATATTCTCTGTGTATGTTGGTCGATGTACTGAGCTGTAAAAAGAAATAATCAAGTTGTTGTTCTTCAATTATTGGTTTTATACTTTTGCCTTGTGTAATTTAGTTTGTAATGTTTCTGTTGATATCTGTCCCAATTGTCCCCAGCCTGCCAAAGTGACGGTGCACTGGCACAAGGGCACCACCTTCATGATCAAGTTTGATGAGGATGTAATCGCCAGGGACAAAATGATTGAGAGCAGATAGAGAACAAGGAGCCAGGGACAAGATGATTGAGAGCAGATAGAGAATGGGGAGTCAGGGACAAGATGATTGAGAGCAGATAGAGAATGGGGAGTCAGGGACAAGATGATTGAGAGCAGATAGAGAACGAGGAGTCAGGGACAAGATGATTGAGAGCAGATAGAGAATGGGTAGTCAGGGACAAGATGATTGAGAGCAGACAGAGAATGGGGAGTCAGGAGATAATGGAGGAAGAAAGGGCATGTAAGATTGTTACAGGGAGGATGAGGAACTATACGATAATGGAGGAAGAAAGGGAATGTAAGATTGTTACTGATAGGGGAGGATGAGCAATGGGACAATAGAGAAAGAAAAGAAAACGTAAGATTGCTGAAGCTCAACGAAAGTTTCTGCTTTGGCTTCTGATGTTGGAGTAACAGGATGGAATTCTTCCTTCTTCTTTTCAGTTGTGTTCAGTATAACCAGGCTAGCACAAACCTTTGGTTTAAAGTATCTGTTCGCTGAGAAATGTAGAATTTCACATCTGTTGAATTTCAGATTGTCTGTGTGTAATAAAGTTTGCATCTTCAATCTTGACACTGAAAAAGTGACTTTCCATTGTGTGGTTGATCTGGTGTGGGCTGACCTGCTTCCCTGTCCCAATCTGTCCCTGTGTGGGATTTGCTTTTTCTTTTCTCGAATGGTTTTAATTTTTGTCTCCTGTGAATGTGTATTTTTTTTCTCTAAAGTTTAGCTTGAAATGTTTGAAAAGAAAGTAAAGAATTTGTGTGACTAAAAACAAGCTGAAGAATGTGTGCCTGATACAGTTATTATGATTGACCATTGTCTGGTTCGCCTATAGTGCAGGTCTACTTTGTAGATTATACTTACTAGCCTTCTTATGTCTGGTTCGCCTATAGTGCAGTTCGTCTACTTTGTAGATTATATTTACCAGCTTTCTTATGTCTGGTTCGCCTATAGTGCAGTTCGTCTACTTTGTAGATTATACTTACTAGCCTTCTTATGTCTGGTTCGCCTATAGTGCAGTTCGTCTACTTTGTAGATTATATTTACCAGCCTTCTTATGTCTGGTTCGCCTATAGTGCAGTTCGTCTACTTTGTAGATTATACTTACTAGCCTTCTTATGTCTGGTTCGCCTATAGTGCAGTTCGTCTACTTTGTAGATTATATTTACCAGCCTTCTTATGTCTGGTTCGCCTATAGTGCAGTTCGTCTACTTTGTAGATTATACTTACTAGCCTTCTTATGTCTGGTTCGCCTATAGTGCAGTTCGTCTACTTTGTAGATTATATTTACCAGCCTTCTTATGTCTGGTTCGCCTATAGTGCAGTTCGTCTTCTTTGTAGATTATACTTACCAGCCTTCTTATGTAGCTGAGTGTTGTGTGAGAGTCTTTAGTTTTCTGTGGAGCGAATTGAACGGAAAGCCTGATGATAAATGTAACTATATATGTTATTGTTATGATTGAAAAATGCATGAGTGAGTGAATAATGTGTTAATGTAGTGGTTCTCTTTTCAACACCTCTCCTCTTCCATGTAACTGTTCCCAGCAATCAGTGGTTCAACGACACCCATTGCTGTCAGAAAACATTTCATAGGCTCAGTTTTGGTCAAATAGATTGTGTCTCCAGATATTTATTTTTTGTTATGTCAGCTCTTTTCTGGCTCTTGTCAGACAGACTCTCTTTCAGGCTCATGTGTCATTAAAAAAATCATTATTAATTTATTTGATTATATCACTGTTGTTGGTACTTTTGTGAAAGTAAAAGTTGACAGTGCAGTTTTGTGTGATGTCTTGGTGTGTCGTTTCCTCTTAGTCTAGCAGCGTTTTACAATGGGACCACAGCTGTTCAATTCCACAATATTTGTGGAACACTTCGTTTTTGGCCTGTCCACTGACCTCTTGAGGTCATAAATCGCACCCGGTAGTCGGGATGGGCACCATTTCCTGGAAAATAATGCTGTGGGTGTATGGGGTATCAAATGAACTTCAAAACACTCCTGAATAATGCCTTCTATCCTTTAGTTTGCTTCTTGTTTTGGGTGTGTCCACATACTACACCTGTACATTACCCTACCTTGTGGGGCACACATTTCCCAGATTTCTACAAAGATCAGGATTTCCTTCCTTGAGAGACAAGTGATTGTTAGCATTTTGTATTTCTTGTTGCTAGAGTTTATAAGGAGGTTGATCATTAGAAAATGTTTGACAATAACTGAAGAACGGTAACATGAGCTGGAGCTTGTAACCTCACCCTGTGATATTTACGTGGCCGCTGTGCTGCCCTATGTAGCATTATCTTGAGGATCCACTTTCACTTCCAGGATTCTTTATCCACTGCAGTAAGGGTCAGAGTGAAAATGGAACACTCAGGAATTCCGTCTTGAGTGTTTGACCAAACTTTGCAGGACCTGGACCCCAGGAGCATAAGGGAGGCAAATCGGAGCAGATATTTTTGTTGAAATACTCAGAATGAGTTTCTTGTGTTCTATCATGTAAGTGCAAACATTGGAACAGACTGTGCAGACACACTCTTTTGAGCACTTCTTTTATCATTTTTATCATTTTTATCATTGGAATTTGAGGAAGCAAGTTCAAGAACGTTCACAGCTGCCCCCCAAAAAGTATTGGAAACAATTCACACATGTGGACACCTTTTGAGAAAAATTAGATCGCAGGAACTTGCCCAATATGTTCCCTTTGCTCTGCATAATAAAGTTGTGTTCATAAAGCACATCAGATCCCTTGTTGCTCCAAAGATTTACCAGAGAAACAGAAGAAACACTTCCATGTAGTTGTGGCAGACAAGAGTTCACATGAAAGTGCTCACCAAAAGTCCATAGTAGATTAGTCATCACTTGAAACATCAGCAGTATACTGGCCACACGGAGAACTGACACGAAAGTCTCTAATAGCAACATTAACGCCGAAACAGAGTTCAAAGTCAGCACAGCTTTTCCTTTTGCACAGTTGACGGACACATCACTGTAGCACGTACTTCAGACAGTTGTATCATTTGGAAGAAACTCTCGCAACACAAATGACATGCAGACAATTGTACTCCTCAGCAGAGGAAGATAATGCGTAGTTCAAAACCAGAGGGTAGCCACCAGCTTTCCAAAAGATAATTTCACTCAGAAAACCCTCCAACCCAGCCAGCTGACCTACGAGAAAGTGAAAGTCAAACATCATAAATAAAATGAGGCAGACTGTCGGGGGTAGTAGCAAAGGAGGACGGAGAGATTCAACATGTATCGGACGTCAAAAGGCAGACGCGTGTAGTTAGGCGCAACATATTACGCGAGACTGGAACCAAAGATAAAGTTATCGTAGACACAACATTTTCTCTTGCTACGAAAGAAGCAATGGGGTTGACTTGGCACCAAGATAGAGAGAGGTGGAGACTGTGGCAAAAAATGGGAGTTTGAACCAGTGATCATCGTGTGAGGACAGCTTATCAAGATGTAACTTTGCAGAGATACTAAAGACAACAAAGTTAATAAAGGCAGTGAAAGTGAAAGTCCCATGAGGCAATAGGCGGAGCGTGTTGGACGAGCTAGTAACAGCTGGCCCAACTTCAACAATGTTGTGTAGAACCTGCTTCAGCACTAGGAGAAGTATACACAGGTTTCCTAGAGGACCAAATCTCTCTTCAGATTTGAGGAGGAGAAAAAAATTCCTTTTATTTCACATTTGATCTTTCTTCTTCTTCTCGATCGCATCACACTTGAAGTCTCTGTCATTAATTGGGCCGTCCTGCTCAGTTCATCTGGCGGCCCGTATAGCTTCTCGTCTCTGTCATTAATTGGGCCGTCCTGCTCAGTTCATCTGGCGGCCCGTATAGCTTCTCTTGTAGCGTCAGTGGGGTTGGCCACGTTTCCTGTCTCAGAGCCCTGTGTGTCTTGCAGTGCTGAAGGATGTGTGTGTGTGTGTGTGTGTGTGTGTGTGTGTGTGTGTGTGTGTGTGTGTGTGTGTGTGTGTGTGTGTGTGTGTGTGTGTGTGTGTGTGTTTCCTGTCTCAGGGCCCTGTGTGTCTTGCAGTGCTGAAGGATGTGTTCAACAGTTTGGTCCGCCTCTCCACACTGGCATTTTGGTGATTGTACTAGTTTATTAAAACATTTGTACATATGTTGTCTCAGTCTTGTGTGTTGTGTCCTTAGTCGGAAGATAATCACTTGTTCTTGGCGGGACAGCTCATGGTAGCCGTCTGGTGTCTGAGGTGCTTTAAATAGTGTATTTATGATAGTTTGTTTATTTCTGTGTAGTTAACGCTGTTGTCTGGTTGCTCTTTCTGTGCCCCTAGTTTGGCCATCCCGTCTGCCTGCTCATTTCCCAAGACACCACAGTGTGATGGAATCCACTGCAGCATGATCCTCAGACATGGGATGTCCTCAATTTCTTTTCGTAGCCTTGGTAGTTTGCTGGAAGTGACTGCCTGCAGTACTGACATGGTATCTGTTAGGAACACTACTTGGCTTTGGGGGTCTACCACATTCTTGATGAAGTTTGCTGCATGTACTAGAGCCTCCGTCTCTGCCCTGTAGTTTGTACAATGTCGCCCTGTTGGGACTGCCTCTGCTTGTCGTCGTCCATTTGGGAACTGTACGTACACTCCGGCTCCTCCTCTTTTCACAGCATCAGTGGCAGGTCCGTCTGTATAGATCCTTATCCATGCTTCTCGTGGGTATCTTTGTTCAAGCATGGACAGGGTGAGGGACTTCTTGCTCAGGTCGCTGTGGTCATCTTTTGTGGTGAACATAGGAATGGATGTGTGTATAGATATGTTTGTGTTTGTCTTTTCCCGTGATGGTGCCTCTGGGGTGTGGTTCAGCACGTTCACTGTGGCTGGTAGATGGTCCTGTACGGATCTTTGGATTTTTCTGCTTTCTTTGATGAAGTTGGATCTTTTAAGTCTTGTGGTGTTTGATCTCGCTGTTCTCGTGTGCAGTATATGATCCTCCATAGCTGTGGCCTCGGTGTACTGTATGAGGGCCTTGGTGTACTGTATGAGGGCCTTGGTGTACTGTATGAGGGCCTTGGTGTACTGTATGAGGGCCTTGGTGTACTGTATGAGGGCCTTGGTGTCCTGTATGAGGACCTTGGTGTACTGTATGAGGGCCTTGGTGTCCTGTATGAGGGCCTTGAACTCCCATCTCCTCTGCAGGGCCACTATAGATGTTGTTTGTTTCATCTTTTCTATAGGCGTTGACCTCATTGCTCCAGTGATTATTCGGAGAGCCTGGTTTTGCACTTTTTCCAGAGTGTATTTTTGAGTCTGTGCTGCAGTCATCCATGCACTGGATCCGTACTCGAGATGGGGCCTGATTGCGCCTAGATAGACCTGTCTAAGTGTTTTCTCATTTGCTCCCCCATGAGTCCCTGCTAGTTTTCTCATGATGTTAAGTTTCTTCTTGGCTTTAGTTTTTGCATTTTGAATGTGTTGTTTCCATGTGAGACGCTTGTCAAAGATTATTCCAAGACACTTTTGTTGATTCTCATACTTTAGGGGGGGGGAGGGGGGGAGGGGGTTGTCTAATGTGAGGTGTTTGGTTCAGCCTGGCTGAGAGTGAATTCACATTTGATGATTACTGGATGTGAATAGGTGTGAAAGCTTAAGTGTCATGAAATGTTCAATATAGAATAAATAGTATAGGTTATTCATGCTTTGTCAATAGTAATAGTGTCATTTGTGTGTATAGTCTGTGTGGATTGTGCTTCTTTTTTTTTTTTGCTTAGAAAATGTTTTGAATCGGCTTAGTCTTCTGAATTCTAAAGTATGTAAATAAGTTGGTTAAATATTTAAATAAGGTATTTTCTAAGGTATTTTCATTTTGTTTGAATGCTGGAGGAATGCAAGTTGTGTGATTCCTCTCACTTATCAAGTGTAGGGGAATTAAATTTATACAATGTGGAATAAAAATCGGAAAATGAACTTCATTCACATGTCTTTTGACTTGTTTTGTTAGATCTGGGGCCTTCGTATTGCTTTGGAATGAGATTTGAGAGCGTGGGGATTAGATTTAGAATGACTTTTGGGATGATTGTATGAAAGTATTGGAAGAAAATAAATGTGGATGGCTGGCGAATGCTCTGGTACGGCTTGCTCCTTCTTTCCTATCAAAGGTCTATCATCATGATCTCTCCTTTTCTGTGTATGTTACCAGCTATTAGTAAACACCTCGTCAGCACTTCTATGATCTTTTTGTGCTGCAAGAGCTCGTAACTCTCACTGACTGAAATGAGAGATATTAAAGATTATGGTAAGATTGTCAAAATGAAATGGCAATGTTTAACATTTTGTTATAACCGTTCTTTGTACTTTGGGTTTGTTTTCCTTTTCTCTGACTACATGACATGTATATATTTATATATAGATATTTGTATGTATATATATATTTGTATATTTTCATGATTTTCTCATCATCAGTAGGCCCCTTCATACTAACATGTTATGTACATATGTAGGGCCTATGCCTCACCGAAAAAAGAAAAAAAAATTACTTTAATCATTTGATATTATAAGTAAATGTTTGCCCCAGGTCATAAGTTAGTTTGATATCATGAGTAAAGGCCCAGAGAAATCAAACACAGCTCGTTATATTCTCTCAGAGACTCTCTCAGAGCGTTACTACTACAGGTTGTATCCCATACGCTGAGGCTTTGCCATGAGACACAGTGGCCTTGATATCCTTGGATAGAAAGGTACGCTACCCCCCTTCTCTCTCTCTCTCTCTCTCTCTCTCTCTCTGTCTCTCTCTCTCG